TATACTCTCTACTACAATATACGTCTTTTCCAAATTTGTCATTAGAAAATTTTCAATTGCTCATTTGTCTTAAACTTGAAAAGTTTCATCGTACGTTTTTATTGTTTATTAATTAAAAAAAGGATTGGTTAAAATTTTGCAATAGCACAAACGCTATCAGATAATTTCAAATCGTAACTACTTTACAGCGAGGTGATACTCAGAGGTAGTCAGGTATTTTCAAATCCACTTTTGGTTCTGTCAGCCCACATCAATATCACGTCCTCCACAAGTGCAGAAATTAAGAAGTTCACATTTGATAAGAAGTTTCAGGAAGAAAAGTGTTCGTTCACTCGTATGCAAGGCTTTATAAGTTTATTATGAGTTTATTCTATCTTAGGATTTCCAAAACAAGATGTGTTGAAAATTGTCTTCTTTGCAGCCCGCTGTGAGGGAATCGCCTTGGCCTTCTATAAACGTTTTCAGTGTAAATAACTTATATATTTTTAGTCATGTCAGCTGATGGAGGTAAAATAATAGAAAATTTTTATTGAAAAACAATTCCCAATAAAGGTGGAACAATAGTTTGTCTCAAACATTATGCGAGACAATGCTGTTTAAACGTTTCTTTCTCGACAATAAAATGCATTTTCATAAAATCAAGGTCCAATTCACTTGAAAAAGAAGTTTTTTGCCTTCTTTGATTTATATTTGAACATGAAACAAACCAATTTTAAATTCTTCGTTGCTACTTTGCAAAAAAATATAAATCAAAAGTAAAAGCAAAGTAAATTTTAAACCAAATACAGTTTCATGCTCAAGCAGCATGATAGAATCCTTTATTCTATTATGCGTCAAACAAACAGGTGCGCTACAGAAGCCATTTGGCAACTTTCAAAATACTTAGAAATGCTGATAGCAACTCAACTTGACAAAGCACGATTTGAACACGAACGCCATTTGAATACCATACGACTTGAACACGAACATGAACTGAACATCAACATGACTTGAACACGAGAACGAATTGAGTATGAGCACGAATGAACATGAACAAGACTTGAACGCGTAAATGTCATCAACACGATCATGACTTGAACACGAAGACTACTTCAATAAAACATGACTTGAACACGAACATGAAATGAACACGAACACGACTTGAACACGAACGTAGCTTGAAAATGAACATGAAATGAACACGAACACGACTTGAACATGACTAGAACACGAAAATATTAAAAACACGATCATAACTTGAACGCGAACACAACTTCGATAGGAATATGACTTGAAAACGAACATGAAATTATCACGAACATGACTTGAACACGAACCTAATTAAAAAACGAACATGAAATGAACACGAACACGACTTGAACATGAACATGACATAACCACGAATGCGACATAAACACAAACATTACGTAAATACAAACTTTAACCCGACTAAAATTACAAAAAAGAAACATTACAGATGAAATAAGAAAGCCTCTCTGCGGCTTTATTTTCTGCAGTTGGGTTATTGATCAGACAGAAAAGGAAACTACCAAAAATGACAGAAGCAAGTCAAAAGATGTAAATGATGAGCTACAAAATAATCTGTTTTGCACACTGCGAAAAAAAATCATTAGAATAATACATTAAGCATTTCCAACGAGGTCATTGTCGAGATTATGTTGGTATAATCTTTCCATGTTTTTTAGAACGCGGTCTTTTTAATCATGTATGATTTCCCCTTGAGCTCACCGTGAACAAACTGATTTTACAAGAGCAGAAGGCGTTTCGTTCCATCTGCTTGTAGTGCGCTGCGTTTGGATATTACGAATGGGAAGTTCGGGCTCCTCTACGACAGTAGAACGGATGGCAAATGCAAATTACTGACCATGTCTACCATAGGGGTTTCTTAGCATCGCGAGATGGATGCACGGAAGGCCCTAAACATTCTTGATAATCATACTTACTGAAATCGACCGATTTTATCCTAATGATTAAATCCACAGATGAAATATCCTTGTCATAGCGCTTAACAGCATTTAATGAATAGATCAATAATTCCGTATAATTATGCATATTGAATAAACAAGACATCAACAATTTCATTCTCCTTTTTATCAAGGCCCCTTATCTAAATTGTCTTCGCCTTTGATCAGTGCCGGATTACCTATAGGACCTATGGTACCTAGGCCCCCGGCCCAGAACCTAAACGGCCCCGCTAGGAATGTTTTTGGTATCTTCAGTGAAAGGCCGTGTACTTTATGGGAACTCGTTGCAATCACGTCCTTTGGGGATATACACTGAGTTTGTATACATTGGATTAATTTTAATTTGACAAATGGTCCCTTCATTTTCCAGCGTTTAATGTGAAGAGCTGTTTTAATGTGAAGAAATGTTAATCGCCTCGAGAGAAAGACTTACTTGATCTCCATTGATGACAGAATATTTTCATTTGGTGAGCATTTGAATCGTCTCTGCTTTGTTATTGATCGTTTGCTTCAGATACATTCGAAATTACAGCAACCAAAGTGCCAGTTAGCTTGTTCAACTGTATGCATCTTTGAGTTTATTGTTTCTGGCATTTCTCTTCATCCCCACAAATTTTCAAATGTACAAACGTTTCCTGTTCCCAAAACCAAAATGTCAAAGACGTAACCAGTTATATTATATTACGTTACTACTAGCGGCGTTTCCTTTAAAGACATTGCAAAAATTGCCTCACCTTTGCATCGTTTAGCAATAAAGAACCCAACATTAAATTGGGACAGTGATTGACAAACTACCTTATGCTCCTCGGCCGTCATGTCCTATCTTGGTTTGCAAGTACTATTATTTTGTATGCCTATTCCGACACCTTGTCCCTCCTCTTCGATACCACATACAGTTCAGGTACGTGATTCTGACTTTTTAGTCACTGTAGATTACCTAGAGGTAGATGGAAGAGCCCTTGCTTGAATTCTGTCTATCGATGATTGCCCTCTTGATATAGATGGAATCTTATGCCATTTATTGGCACGTGGATAACTCATATACTATTGATATCTCAAGAAACGTTCTTGAACTTTTGCAATCATGTACAAAGGGACACTGTTAGGAAACACCACACCAAGGTGCATTAATGAAACATAAAGTATATACGTCTTTGGACAAGAACCTCTGTTTTTTCCCATCCAATAAAAGATGTTATTCATTTCAGGACATCAACTTTCTTTGCTGCCTTCATGCAAAGTAGTGCAACGAGCAAACCAAAAATTAGCATGTGATGAAATTCATGCAGTTATATTGCATCAATAATTATTCGTATTCCATTGGTATTTGTCCTATTCCACCTTACCAAAGCGCATGAAATTTTTCACGGTATACGTTTAACTTGACTGCCTATGTCAGAGCAACACTTGTTCCCCCCCCCCCCCTCCTGCACAGCCCACATCAAGTCCGGTAAGGTTTAACAAGTATACCTTAGTATGATATTTCTTGGGTAGTGGTACATTGTTGTGTATCAGGTTGTTGTTGTGTAACAGAATCAGTTAAATGTACTAAGCAGTAGAGGATCAAGAAAAGATCTTTGTGGTACCGTCAAGAAAGATTTTGTAAGTGCTGCATATGTTTCTACCGCCAACCGATTGTTTGGGACGCTTCAAATTAGAATATAAATCTGTCCTTGCCGTGTGCAAATCTTTGGGCCATTCGATTGGTTTCTTGGGTACATCATAACTTTTTCATACCTGTATGTAGAGGGTTTGTGTGTCCGGAGAAAACGGGATTTTACTGATCGCGCTTGCAAGGTACACTCGTAAACCACAGTGTAATCTGGGTCAAGACACTTAAAGCTTTAAGATCAATAAGCCTGTTTAAATAAACAAGGCCGTACATGGGTGTGTCAAGCGATATTGTAAATGAGACATGCGACCACAACCGCAAAACACCGATAATCGGCTTAACTGGTAGCCTGTGCTCCAGACCCTTTCACCTGAAGGAGTTTAGACCTCTTCCTTCAGGCTAAGGGTCTGGAGCACAGGCTACTTAACTGGTCAAGAAATTTTCAGGCCTCAACTAAAAGTTTTGATAAAAAAATTATGGAGCCTTCGTTTACATGGGATTTTTTCCATTTTCAAAATTTTTGTTAGTTTCAATTTTGGTATCATTGTGTGCCTTGAAAGTGCGGCTACTTGAATGTGAAATAATCGCAACTTGGATATTTTCATCCAGAAAACTTTTACCGTAACCTTAAAACGGTATTGTTTCGAAACAAAGGACTGAAAGCTTCGTCTCCCGAACAAGAGGGCACTGATTTCTCTGGACACTGATTTTCAGCTATATCTCTTGTGTTTCCATAAAGTTCTAGGCAAATAGACTGATCAAAAAGAAAGAGAGGTATGCTAACAAGTTTTAGAATTTATGTTTAAATGAAACATGTAAGCGTGAAACTTAATTTGGTAATGTTGCAATATTTGCAGTAATGCTGCCGGAGCCCCTAGGCCCAGTGTTGTAAACATGATACAGGCGGTACACTTTTTTATAAGAACCAGAAAAGTGAAGTTCAGACTGGCTGTTTTCAGGCTGTATTTCCTAGTTTTTTGGAAATTTGCGGCTGGATTGTTTTTAAAAGCAATGGAGTTGCTATTTCTCATACTTAAGGGGGGTGGGGTGGCTGTTATGGCCTCATTTGCCAACAAATTGGGCGAGGCATCCTTTATTTGCCACCAAGTTTGAAAATCACCAAAGAAAAAAACAAAGGTGGCAAAGAATTTTTTGTTTTTGAGATGAACAATTTTAAGAAGGTTTCAAGACATTGTTCAAAATTACATTTTACAGTAGCTCAGTCTCAGCTTGTTCTAAATTTGTTTTTGAATTTCGACCATTTCTAAGGCTTGAATTTTTATAAACTTGTTCTTATATACAAAATGAAGTGTTTCTTAAAATCTTTCTCGAGCCGTAATAAGGTAATAGCTATTATTTTCACCTCCGCTTTCGACATCACGGTTTCTGAAGAATTCGCGAAAATCTAGTTTTCTCGCGCAAAACCGCGGTACATTTTGGATCTGCACGTGTTGCAAAATGGCGGCTGTGTTTATTCGAATCGGCCGTGGAGATGCACTTCGAGCCACGTTTAATCGAAGCTTTCGTAACTTCAGCGTTGGTAAGTTTATTGCATATTAGCAAAGCAAGTTTTCATCTTTTATAAGAAGCAGTTTTTGCCTTGCTTTAACTGGCTTTCTGCTTTAATCTGCTAACACATGATGTGTAAGTGTAGGCCCACAGTCTGCAGATTGTGGCATGTGCACACACAAGACTTTTTCAGAGGCTTGTCTAACGCATAAAAAACATAGGGCTGCACACACATTTTTCTGGGTACTGGAAAATTTTTAAGGCCCTCCCTTTTTGAAACGTTGCTTTCCTACCTTGGTCTAAACAACATTTCCTTTGACAAATTGAAATGCCCCCTGAATGCCAGTAATACTGAATGGCAGTATGGAATCCATGTAGCTTACGCCGGAGATATCCGGCGTAGACTAACGATTTCCCATTGTCTTTCTATTGTTTATTGGCGTATGTCCTTCGTGAGTTTCATGGATTCCACCCTGGCCTGAATGCCAATGAATTAGGATTTTAGTATTCATAAAACAACATTAACTTGTGTTGGTCAGCATCAGAACCATCTGATTGTCGCAAGTTGAAAACTTTGCTGTCTAAAACTAATTTAGACAACATCTACCACTTTTGCTATGTGCATTTTGTGACCAGGTTAACTTTCTCTAGATGATACTCTCCTCTTTGAAAGCTCTGGCATGCAAATGCATTAAATGAAATATGAGGCACAGCTTTTCACCACTGCTCAATGAAATCTCAAAGCTATGTGAAGTTGGAAGAAGGGGGTTCTGGTGGTATTCCCCCTGGAAAAATTTTAAGGGCAACACCCTATAGATTACCGCAGAATGACCCTGGAGCCATCTCATATCTCAGTGCTCTGATTTGATATTTTGAAATGACCTATGCTTGTCCTAAATCCATTGATGCTCAGAATTAAAAATCTTCTGACGAGCATTTTCCAATTCTCTGAGAAACTACATTCTTAAGGTTTATTCTCAATTTCCTAACTGAGGGCTGGTAAGAAGAGGCTTGCCGTTTACTAACAAGGGCTATAAAAAGGTCTTAATCAAAGAAAGTAAAACATTATTTGGGAACCTACAGTATCTGACTTGTGCTCAAGCATGATTTACTTTTTAGGGACCATTCTGTGGACTGATTTGTGTTAAAATCAACTGACTGAGTGAACTTTTAGGGGGTTACATTTCAATCCCACACCCCACCTAGAAGTTTGACTGAGTACAAGGGAGGGGGGTCAAAATTTTAATCATACAAAATATATGATTGACCCCATGCTGAATTATAATCTTAAGTCAAAATTTTGTGGAATGCTTGAAAGCACTTTTGGAGAAATAATTTCTGTGCACACATTTGTGAGACAAATTGACAAATACTTTGCCCATTAGAAGGTGCTGCACATATTGGATCAAAACTGAGCAGTGTGCACACACTGCATACTTTGTCAACACTTTTGGACACATGGACACATTTATATTTGGTTTTGTACACACAAAATCCTGTTGAGAACTGCCATGCTCTGCAGACTGGGTGTAGGCCGGGCAACAACAAAGTCGTACGCAATAAACAGATTGTGGCTAAGGCAATAAACAGATTGCACCAGTTGTGGTCAACTCAAGACACCATAACAGAAAAAATCCAGCTCTGCTCTAAATTGACTTGTTTTATAAACTTAGTAAAGAGTCTGAGATGAGCACTTATTTAGTTTTTAATATACCTATATATGCTACACAATTTAAAATTTCATTGATTTCCACAACATATTAGACAAGATACACAAGACTAATTATGACAATGACAAATGACAAGAACTACAAAAAATTAGAATTTAGATAAACCTTGAAATTAGAAAGTAAGTTTCATACCATATAGGATGTTGTGTAGGACCACTGAGAAAACAACAGCAGTTATCTAGCTCATTGCCCTATGCTGTTTACAACTGGTCCTACGCCACCAGGGTTGGGGATGGGGGGGGGGGGTGGAGAGGGCCATGGGTCCTCACTCTTTTGGTAGTCAAAAACATTCATAAAGAGGCCCTGTTTTGAAGCACTAAATTTGTGTTTGTTTTAAAGAATTTGGCCCCTCCACCTTGAAATTCATGGCACAAGCCCTGTACATCCTAGGCAATTTTAAACAGGTTTATAAATAGAGGTTTTCAACAGATAAAAACTGAAGTGCCCAGCCCCTCCCAAGCAGAAAATGTTTTCCAAATAAGCATTCAGGTTCAAGTTGCAATTTTATTTGGTTACCAACCAATCCTACATATAGTCCTTAAATACTTACAACACAGCTAGATACAAATACGATAACTGAATTTGATCAAAAAGTTAATGAACTATAAGTTTAGAGAGGAAGAAGAACATTAATGTATTATTTATTGGATAGATTGACTAAGAAGGAACTCTCTGAACAGATAAAATCAACTATGAGAAAGATCTCCCCCCCCCCCCCATAAATCTAAGAGACATTAGAGACATTACATTGTAAAGAGCAAGATGCAAGGAAGAAACACCAAGTAAATTTATGTAATTGCACTATGTAATTACACTTTTGAAAATTTTTAACTACAATACTGCTGTTGCTTTTATGTATGCAAACAAGACAGAACATTGATTAATAGGCAGCAGATGAAATGTTATTATATACACTTGTCCTATTATATAAATGTAAGAGAACCAAGAAATTATCTTAAACAAATCAAAACAAAACATAAAAGGTGCAATCCAGATGAGCCCAATTTGAGTCATGATTATTCTAATTATTCATGATAGATTCTGATTATTCTTTATGAATTAAGGAAACAGGTGTTCCAACTGAAAATTAGAGAACCATGTGAAAAGTCTAAGAGAGTGGTACAGTTTAGAATGAAAATCTATAGCTGTTTTAAATCCATTTTCGTTTAATGTTTCACTCTAGCAAGGTGGTTCTAACATCCAATATTTTAAAGTTGTAATTTTATTAAAATGTCAGGTGTGCAATTTATAACTTGACCAGTTGACTGAAGACATTTAGACGTTTAGTCATGGTAAACAGGCATTCACTTCAGAGAGGTTTTTTGCTTTCTGTGTGGTATGTGTAGTTTCATTAGAATTCAGGGTTCATTGACCGCTAACATAACCTGTCTTCAAGATCAGTATGAGGTATCTTCATTGGTTCAGTGGTCTCAAGTCCCCCTATATTATTGCAACGTGAATATCATGACTCAGTAGATTGAGTATACCCTCATCTTTTATCATGGGAATCAATGCCTTTAAAGGTCTTCCTTCAATTCCTTTTTTGTTGCTTTTTTATGATATGCTCTCTTGTGACATTTCTTCTCAATTAAAATAATGTAATGTTGTTCTGAAGACTTTCTAAAATACTTCAATCTATATGATAATTCAGTGCCCACGTTTAAATTTTTTTTCAACTGTTCTCAGGTATCAAGGATTTTACCAGCAATGAAAAGAGTGATAGCGAAAAGGTTTGTTTTTTTTTATTGAAATGGTTGATCTATAATTTCAAATTCCTTAAATTGGTTGGCAGTGAAGTGATACAACAATACCATGTTACCAAGCATGCCAGATTGAGTTCTGTGGGGAAAATCATCCAGTTTCTATCTTGAGTGGCAATTTACTGCTCCTATGCAGTGTCATGATGTCATTGATATGTAGATGAAATTTGCCAGGCAGTATTGAATTCCTACTATTACCACTTAACTGCACGTCTACCCTATTCATAGAGAATGAAAGGAAAGGTAATACCTGTGCCAATTTAAAGTATGAAAATATTCTGTTTGTACGAAATTCTGAACCCATGGGTGTCAGAATGACGAGATAGATAGAGGCTGCACACCCTTTCTCCAAAGTGGGGATCGAGAGGGGTGAAGATTTCATTTTATTTTGCTGTAACAGGGCTTCAACATATGACAGCAGGGTGCCATGACGTGTACACTTTCTCTTAAAAACTTTCCATGATGTATTCATGTAGTGTTGAAGGTTATCTTCGGGTATTGAATGGTTCAGTAATCCAAAGAAAGCAAACCATCCTTTTACACCCAGTTCATTAATTTTCTACTGTTAAAAAGTAAGCTGTCCTTATAAATATCAATTTCATCCTTATACAAATTCTCGTCACCATACTCTTCATAAATAAAGAAATGATTCAAATTTGACAGTAAGGGAGCTCAATCAAAAGGGGGGTGCTGACAAAATTTTTATTTGTTTTAAGGGGCGCCCTTTTGCAGAGGGACTCTAATTCGTAAAAATTTGAAGTTTTGCTGTTCAAGCAGATGACAGCTATTGGCCGATTGTTTTAAAATTTTGAAATTAATTCGCAACAAGTCTTAACTGCACAGAGCAAGGAGAAAACGACACAGTCAAATTGTCATTCAAAGAGTAAGGGGAAAAGAAATTTTAAAAATGAGTAAAAATCATCCAGAGTTATAAAGGTCTTGGGTCTCATCACAATGATTTGGTGCGGTGCCATTAGGTAGCCTCCTTTCCATTGCGAGACTCACAAAAAACGAATCAGTGTAAACTGCCAAAAAGCCACCAAAACGCATATTTTTTCTCCGTTTCGACTTGTGGGACGAGTTTTAGGTCTCCATTTTGTTCTACAGTTTGTTTTGTGAAAATCGTCTTCGTTGATATTGCAACAATGTTGAAATTGTGAGAAAACGCTAAGGTGAAACTTATCCCATACTTAATGCAGCTGATCATCTGCTTTTTGTGCTTTTGCTCATGTGAAAAATTGTTTGTACTGTACTTTTTTACCGTATCCGAATAACGAATCGAAGGTTAGGTTAAACCAGCGTTGCACTGTCGGCCATGTTGTGGAAGTAAGATTAATTACGTTTTTAGTAATGAAAAGACTGATGTTGTTAAACAAACAAACTTGTAAACAGTTTGTGTTTAATGTTTTTCAGCAGACCCTGCTGTTGTGTTTACGTCGGGTACCGAACCCTTTAAGATCGGGTACCGATCACTGATATTGCGAAACAGAAAGATGAGATGTGAATTAGCTTGTACAACTCCCTAAATATAGATTTGCATTACTCATTGGGCTTCTTTTTTTGCTTGATTCGGCTGATTTTGTTATAGCGGGTTGGCAGCAGATCAAAACAGAGTTGCGAAGAAAATTCTGGTTTTAGTACAATAAAACCTTTTTTAACTACGGGATAAAGGCTTTAAAGTAAAAATTAAAGTTTTTTGTAAAATATATATGAATCATCTAGCCACATGTTTCATATATATGCCATATGAAACATGTGGCTAAATTCTGCAAGGTGTCGCAATGAATATTTTCATTTTTTCTCTTGTTTTCTTCTGTTAAACAAAGCTTTAAACCGTAGTAAAAGTAATTATAAATCGTTTTATCGTCTGTTATCTTTCCCAGAGACAACGACTCGAAAGGAGTGTTTTTTATCATTTACGATATTATCATTTAAGATATCCCAGGAAACAATGCTATAGTTGATGCTTCACAAGGTTCCATCTTTGGCACTTTGTTGTCGTTATTTCCATAAGTCTGTTGCATAATTTATGTTAAGTCCAGTTTCTGTACAGATGATGTTTTCACGACGTACAAAGTTTTGTTTTAGATGCAGAATTGTCTCCTAGCAGAGGTATTATCTCTCTTTAGGAATCGGAATAGATGGTGACCTTTATTTTTACTCTCGAAGACATAATAGTTCAGGCGATTAACAATTTCTGCAACTTATATTTTTACAATCGTCAAGACCTGATTAAAATCAGGAAATACTGACGCTATCCGATTATTTTGTATAACATGAACTCTTTTTTCAGAAATAAATAAAGAATTTCAAACTTTGACAGTTTGGTTTTTTTAGTATTCATACCCTTAAATATTAATGTCACTAATTTTTGTCTCACTTACCAACAATTACAGATAGCATACTGTGCTTTCTAGCGTCCATTGTCATGCTACCTAATCGTATTGCTTTGATCCTTATCGCTGTTTGCTAAGTCACCCGTTTACCGGTTGTCAGTACCAATATGGGGGTGGATAAATCCTGATAAGATGCTTTGCGAAATCTCTTTTGGTAAGCGTTCATTCCAGTTTATCATTTTATCAGTCGAATGGATAGCCGTACATTGCCTTTGAAAAAAACATGAACGTGCTAGGTTTTTTGAGTATTCAAGCTATGCTATGCTTATACCTTATGCCTATACTCTCTTTTTTAAGAATATTGTTTATAACGAGGGGCATATCACTCCAAGAATCTCGTCTACTCCTTACGTCGTAAAATTCCTAAATATCTCCAATCTTTAAAATGAATTACAAAATATTATCATAATTTCTTACTATATTGAAAAACCTATGTAAAGGATTCCACAAAAAATGTCAAACTTGTATAAATCAGCAACGAAGTCCTACCCTAACCCCTGCGTGCCTCGCAGTGCACCCGCCGAGACTCGCAGTCGCAATGTTTCTTCTTCAACATTGCCTCATATAGATGCTTAGCAGTCTCCTTTTGGCTATTCAATTATTTTCTCTGCAATATCGATGGCAACATTGTTACGTTTTATATAACATTTAATTACAGGTATAACGCTTTATGCTTTCATATCAGAAAAGGTGAATTGGCAAAACAAATGCAAAATAAACGCAAAAAAAAGGCAAAATAAAAACAAAATTGGCTGCTTCAAAATTTTAATTTTTTCGATTTAAGTTATTCGTTTTTAAGAACATTCGAATCTGACTCGTGGCAATCACATGAATCTAAGCCTGTAAAATTCCTGAAAGGCTCTGAAAAATCTTCAAAATCTCTTTTTGCCTCAAAACCCTTAAAAGGAACTATTGTCCCACTCCACTTGTTACAGAGGAACTATTGTCCCTCTCTACAGGTTTTTAGAAGTGGTTTGACTCAGCCTCTGCTCCGATTTATGTCTCTTATATTTCAGCAGTTGTCTGTTGTGCGATTTTCTTAACAGAGGGTCGCAAAGCTGACATAACTCGTTTTTTTAGAATGCCTGGTTTGGAAAATGTGATTTGATACTTTTGAAATATATTTAGACTCAAAACAAAATATCAAGAGCATTTCTTAAAAGTTTTAATTCATTCTGCAGCACCTATTAGATTGAGGGGCATAAAAATCTTCTTTTCTCGTAATGTTCCGATGCACCAGTCGTACTTAAAGGCATCAAAGTCTATGATAGATGTGCGTGAAGCTTGAAATGTTAAGGCTGTGCCAAGGAATACAAACATTTATATAAAGAAACAGGGTATTTGTTAGTGAATAACGAATGGTAGGTAGGCTTGTACCGCAATGCCTCGAACAAGAGCCCCCCTCAACTAAGAGCCCCCCTCGAATAAGCGCCCATCCTTCAACCTTCAGAAATGGGCGCTTATTCGAATTCAACGAAAACTTAACAGGAAAGCAATTCAACAAGAGAGATTGATAAACAACACAATTTGCACCCAAATCTACTTGTCAAATAAGCGCCCCTCTCGATTTAGCGCCTCCCTCGGATAAGCGCCCCCTCGAATAAGCGCCTCCATCGAATAAGCGCCCACCCTGGAGCCTCAAAAATTAAATAAGCGCCCAGCAATTATTCGAGGCATTACGGTAAGTACGTGAGACCCACGCAATATTTAGCTTAAACAAATAGGAAAGGGGCTGATCACACACTAAACTCTAGCATTTGAGCTAGAAATTCTCAGGGAACCAAAAGACTGCCAAACGTTGGACATACAACGGACTCATAATAAATGCGATAAGGCACGTTACAAGAGACCATTGCCATCTTTAGCAAACAATAATAACTAAAGTGAATGAATGAAAGAAAGACATCCCTGTTGAAATTAACTCTGATTAAATTTCAAAGAATTTTCATAATTTAGCTATCTTAAAAGGAACTCTTTAGCAGTCCATATATTTTACTTTAAAGTCCATATATTAAAACCTTATTGTGCTAAAACCTGACTTAGTTTCCTTAAAGAAAATTCGTGTAAAACATTTTGATGAACATAGCTTCATAAGAATTTCATAATGTTAACATAGATTCGACTGTTCTGTGTTGTGTCCACTGTTCTGCCATGAAATTTTGCCATGAAAAATCCCAAAAGAACGCTATGTTTGTATGTGATCTATAGAGCGGAAACCAGTGGCTTTGCTTTCTAAAACCTGTGTAAACGGGTGCCATTAGAAACATGTGGCTAAAAAGCATCTACCGTAACGATATTTGATATCAAATTATAACCGGGTGACTGTGTCTACATGAAAAGAGAAAACCTTGAATCTTGGTTTTGAAAACTCCGAGTACTGTAAGTGGAGAAGAGCTCCTATGTGTCAGCAACCTTTCACACCATACATTGAGAACAGTGTCCATTGTGTTTTGAAGACCTAAGATCAGGACATTGGAAGAAGACATTTCTTGGGTTTTCACAATTTTAATGTTTCTCCTACATAACACATTGAAATACTTTTCCAATGTTTTCTTTAGATTTCATCCTCGTGTT